TAGAGGTGTCGCACCCGCGGGTAGGAGCGGACAGGACAGGTGACCCCAAACTGACCAACAGGGTATTCCATCCCATCTGCCTCATGCTCAGTATAAAAGCTGACAGATCAAAGGGTCAGTGCTCTTTCTTCAAGGGCCGGCATCCACGGAGGACTCTGTTCATCTGCCTTTGATCCTGATCTGTGTGTTCCTGAATCCAGATCCAGAATCCAGTTGCTCTCTGTCACTGAGTCCAGTCTGGGACCTTCCCAGTGCCAGCCAGTGACACGATCGTCATCTGGGGAGCTCGATACGGTTTTGTATATACTGTATATATTTCATTATTTTCTTTTTATTATTTTATTAAGATTTTCATTAAATTAGTTTAGCTAGAGACCAACACAGAGACCCAGAAGCTGGAAGTATACTCGGTACAGCCACAGCCCTGCACGCCAATGGATGACCTGTGCCCTGAACAACCTCTCTGCCTTTGAGATACATCCCTTATGTCCACACCCAGGTCCAACAAAAAGCTCTTAAAGAGCAGATGTGCCTGGACTTTTCTGATTAAGAGGCAAACCAGGAGCTCCTGTATAAAATTCCATTTTAACAGAATGTCATAGGAGGGACTCAATTTTTTCCCAGAAAGAGAATTCACAAACAAAAAAAAAAAATAAAAAGAAAAAAGACTAAGCTGATAAAATGTCAAATAGTCACAAAGAAAGAAAGACTGGAAGAGCAACCTTCCTTACTACTGTAGCCTGAAAGTCCCATCCTGGGCCATCAAGTCCAAAAACCTCTGATGACTTGGACAAACATTACAGAATTTGTCGTCCCTAAACTCATCAAGGTCCATTTTAAAAAAGGGCTTACTTCTTGCAGGAAGCTGATCCAAAAGCTGATTTCTCTGAGGATTAAAACTGTTCCAATATCCAACTAATCGCGGGATATTATAAACTGGCTGAGTTATGGCCATTCAGCTAACCTGCCTGTCAGGGTCTGTCCCAGCTTCCAACAGGCCTGAGTTGCAACCAATCTTTTGGTCACAGTAATGACCATAAAATTTATTTCTATGCAACATAATAATAATAATAACTACCATACTGAATCTCACTTTGCAGGAAGGAGACCTTTACCAAATATAAAAATCATATTGAAAGGATAGAATATATTTTAACTAAATAATTCTTAAACCAGTAATGCTTCAAAAAATAAAATTAAAGTTTACCCTCATGCTTTTACGATTACATGACTGAAGATCTGCAAGAGAATACTTCCAAGAAGCCAAGCAGTCTAAGAAAATACAGTGCATTTATGAGTTTTCATTATTCCTATCAGCATTTGTAGTAGTTGTGGATTCAAACACCCCTGCACTATGGAAGCAAAACAGTCTCTGATATCTGCAAAAGGACCGATTCAGGATGGAAAAAACCTATTTGAATGGCAAGAAGCACCAAAGGAAGAAGATGAGGAAAAGTGGGAGGAGGCAGGAGAATACAGAATGGGCTCACTTAACATCAGCCTCTGTACAGGTCAGATACACAGGTTCTTTCGGGTCCTCTTCTAAATTAGAAGACAATTACTGAGCTATCAAACACATACTAATAAAGATCTTTAAAGTCTTTGGTGACCTAATTACTTTCACTTGGTTGTTTCTCATTAGCAAACTTTCTGATGAGGTTAAATTTACATTGCTGGCAACTACTAGCACCAGCTCAACTTGCAAATGGAATTTGAGCATAACTTTCTTTTCCTTATTGATGTCAGAAAAGCAGAATTGGTGAACTATGAAAGTAAGTGCAATCTGGCTGACTGTGAAAAAGAAATCCAGTACGATTAAGAATAATTGTGGGCCAGATATTGAAGATCTCCCAGCAGTTTCAGAAATTTCATAAACTAGGTATTGGTTGGTTTGTTCTTTTTTTTTTTTTTTAATAACATCTTTATTCTCATAAAGGACCTCCTACGTATTGCTGGGGTAGGGGGTATTGCCTCAGGAATTGCAGAAAAACTCAACTTTAGCTTGCCTTAGAATAAAAGTTCCCTTATATTATTAATTAGATTCAAACAGCCAGGGTTAAGTCTTTTAAAGAAGATGGAGGGACATTCTCTCCATTCCACACAAGCATGAAATTCTATAACCGATTTTTGACTGTCTTTCATGCATTCTCATAAAAATGATAATCTTATCATTACTATTTCATAGTTGAGGTAGTATTTGCAAAAGCCCCAAAGCAAGAACCATGAAAGACAAAAGCTCTTATAATGCTCACATCAGTGTCAAGGAGGACAACTTTGCACCTGGATTTATTGTATCTCTTCTGATACTGTGGAAAAGCTGGTCACAGTTCCATAGTTATGAATGAATTTTGCAATAAAAGCAAGGATTCAGCTTCTTGACTTTATAAGATGGATAAAGGTTGTCTTTCCTGAAATCCACTAAAAACTTACTAATATATCCGTTTATTCATTCAAATAAATAATTTGTAAATTAATTCTTTTAAGGCACACATCAGTATCAGATTTGTCACCCGAAAGACACCACATTACTGAAAAACGTTCTATGTACTCAAACTTTAACAAGACTTTACCACAAGAAATTAAGAGGTAGCTGAGCAAAGGTGCTACTCATTGTTAATTTTACTGTCCTGCCTGGGTACATCCCAAGTTAGGCCAACACCTCTGTTTGTAAGTGGGACCATACACAACAAAGCTGTCTCATCTGTTTCACATTATTTGAGCACTATTGTCTAAATGCGTCAGGAATAAGGGACGCTGAACTTGTATCAAGAGTTCTCATCAACAGATGGCTTGGCTGCAGTGTCGCTGCCAACCAATGGCTTCATTCCCACTAATCCCTATCCTCTTCTCCCACTACTTTTTCCTTTGCTGTTGCTCCCATTTGCTTTCTGCTACTGTAGCGATGGAGAGATTATAAGACGGTCATCGGATGGTCATTTCACTAGCAAGCAATGCATTCCTATTCTATGGAGAAAGAATGGTTTATGGATTGTGTCTTGGATGACTTATTTTATTACTGATTAGGTGGTTCTGCACAGAGGATTTCTTCCACACGAAGAGTTTAAGATAGTATTATTGCACTTGAGTTTGTATCCAGGGAATATCCAATTTCACTTTTTTGTTCTTCTTCGGAGCAATTATCCAAATGTTAATATCTTTGGCTGCTGTAGTTACTTTATTAGATTCTCCTGGCCAAACACCTACACAGGCTAGCAAATGGCAGAACAAGAACGAAGCATCTGCTTTTCTGTTTTTCCTCTTCACATTATGTCAGTGAATTCCTGAAGCTGTTTGTGCCTCATTTAAGAAATGGGTAGAGTTCACCAGAAAGCAAACAAAAAAAATCAATTACCGAATGTTCTCATCAGACATTAGACAGCTAGAAAAAAATCCAAAATTTTCCTATTCGTGATACTGGACAGAGATACCCATTGTAATTTTTGTTGAATGCTAACTTTTTCACAGTAACTTCTTGCAAAACTAGGCCTTGGAGGTTAGCAACTGATCAGAGCTGTGAGTCACAACACCAAGAGGAACATACCTCATTAGAGCCACAGCGTGAATGGAGGTCCTAACACACTAGGTAAGCAAGGTCAAGGAACACTAGAGCATAAAGTCAGGAAGAATTTCTTTTAAAGATTTTCATGGGGGCTAAATTGGGCCTATTCACAGAAAAAACAGCACAAAAAGTCTTGCCTTGTCCAACTGATAGAAATCTCCTTCCAACACCAGCTGACTTCATCTAGGCCAAATACTGGCATGACTAAAGCTTTGTATAAAACTGATTTATAGCATAAGCATTGTCAAATAAATACTCAGGAGGAACTTCTTTTTTTTCCAAATAGGAACTACTAATACAAGAAGGTGGAAAACAGACTAAATAAACAGTACGTTTGTCATAAACATAGAAGTGCACTGACACAGGTGTCCCAAAAAAATGAAACACACAGTACTCACTGAATACAACTGGCTTTAAAATAATTTTTGCTGTAGTATTGCTTAGATTAAAACAGAATATAGAATCCACTGCTTTGACAACACATTAGAGAAATATTTTTGCAGGATCCATGAAGAAATCCTTCCAAAGACAGAAGTGCGCCAATAGGTGAAGGAACTGGAAAGAGAGACCCTCATTTATCCTCTTTCCCCTTCTCCACTGCCCTTAACCTCTTTTTTTAACTCCTGTTCTCTGCTGCTTTTAAAGGGTGCCTAACAGTTATAGTGAAATGATAGCGTTTCCATCCGATTCAAGATTTTAAAAAGTGAATAGATGTGATTTTCCTGCAGTCCTTTGAACCCTTTTTCATCAACTCATATGTAAATAATTGTACTCAAACAGGTGTTTTTCAAAAATACAGTGAAATGAAAGTGGTCTATGTACACATCTTCGTTATTTTACTTCATGACTAATAGATTATTTTGTATACCAGAAATTCTGTCTTTATGGTGCAATTTCTTAATGAATATTTACTGAAATACAGAGCTGTATAATCTTTACATATATGGGCAAGTATGCACTCCGTAACCCATACCCAAAGCTGATGCAAGCATCCAAATATGTTTATATTCCCAGCAGTATGGTGGGGGGCAGGGGGGAAGATGCTCAGCTTTAAGCAAAACAATGCTATTTTTAAAGTCCTATTCTGTAGAAATTAGGTAAATATGTTATGCAAAATCAGATCAATTTGTTTAGCAATTCTGACCCAGTGATCAGCAATTCTGATCTGTGATCAAGTAGACATTTCCTTTTCTATACGCATTAGTACAACAACCTGGAGGAAATTACAGGTATAGTTTTCATGGGAAAACAATTTTTAAAAAAGTAGCTTAACAGTGCAGAAATCAAAAAGTCAGAACCATGAATCTTGGATCTTATTCTATCATGCACCAAAAAAACCAACCACCATACAACGCACTTCAGTTTAAAAATGTGTCATAGAAAATGAGTTGAAAAGCAGAACTTGGTAAACTAATCTCAGGAATGTTGGTTTATTACCCACCGTAGTTTCTGGTTATACTGCTTGACTTTTTCTAGTGAGGCTGCATTAATCTGAGCTTGAAATTCTTCTACTGAGACACTGTCTCTGTAATAATATCCCTCCATGCTCTCCAATGCTGTGAAAAGAGAAAGGAGAATGGAGAAGAGAAAAATCAGTATTAAATATTTAGTATTCGCCTTCTTTGTAGCTTTGTTCACATGCTAGTGAATTACTTTTTAACCTTGAGGCTGTGACCCCACTGTGGATTGCTGCGCTGTTTCAGTATGTCATCAAATTCATACAGATCTCTAAGATTTCATTTACAAGAAAAATTATATTTCTTGCCTTGTGGAAAATAGAAAGGAGAGCGCTAGTTTGAGTTCCGTTGCTCTAATTAAGGTACTCATGCCCTGTGAATGTAAATGTGGGCTTTAGTTCTGATATATTCTGGAAAAAAAAAAACAAAACCACACTAGAATGAACTAGGGTAGAGGAAAGAAAGGATTAATGTACCAGCTACTTTCATAGAGGGAGACATAATGACTTCTTATGAAGCCCGATTTTGGGAGATGTGGAGCACTTTAACCTCAAGTTATTCCCACTGATAATGTGAATGTAGTCTTCTGGATCAAGTAAAGCAAACTTCTCTGGAGCTCTGAAAGTGCCCTATAAGCTCCTTTCTAGGGATCAGGTAAGTTTCTAAAGTCAAATACTTGACTATATTCACCATTTCATATTCACCATATTCACTTTGCCAAAGCAAGGATGAATATCTTTACAAGAACTCAGGAACTAAACATAGACTTCCATTACAGGAAGGATCATATGTCCTTCTCATACAATTGTTGCACAGAAATTAAAAGGAGAAAAAAATGAATGCACTACCATTCCATTTTGGGATGCTCTTCTGAGCAACAGCTTTCAAAAAAAGAAAGAAAAAAACCCCAAACAAACAAACATTCCCCCAGCCCCTTTAATTTAGAAACTCATGAAAGTTTTACCTTTTCTTTAGCCATGTAAAATCAAGTGTTTGAAAGGCTCTCAAGAAAATTTGGACTGGAAAAATCAAGATCTTCACATTAATCAGTTAACCTTTTTATAACATAAAACACAGGTTCTTGGTGAAATAGTTTTTTGGGGGAGAAGCATTAAAGATTTTACAATTAGGAATATTGCCACTTTAATAATCCATACACATTTTAAGAATTCATCACACTATCAGAAAATGCAAGCAATAAGCAGAGTTCTGATGGAAACATGCTGCTGTCTTACAGCTTCAGCTGCACACAGAATATTAATTCTGCTTGTACTGCTTAATATGACCAGTTAATAAATAATTCATTCATTGTGAAAGAATATGCAAATTGCACTCCTCTTCTGTGCTTTCAGAGTTTGTAATTCTACTTCTGTATGAAAAATATTAAATTTCAACAGTCAGACTTGCTTCCTAACTTCCTTGGTGCTAAGACACACCAGAAAGCCCCCACAAAAATATCCACTGAACTCCATTTATAATAGCATGTCAGTGCAAACAGAGTTGATAATCCGTACTGCTTATTTTATTGGCATAAAGTTGGTTTTATCCAATTAGATTACCCAACCGGGAAACTCAGTCATGTGTCAGGACTGGCTGGAGTACACAGCTCTGTCTCTACAGGCACTGCGGGGACCACGCTCACGGGTGCTGGCAGGGAATCCCACAGCGTGTGCTTTGGCTCTCCCCTTTTTTAAGGGTTTAACATTTTTCTATCTAATACATTTGAAAGCTCTTTTGTAAGGAAGGTTTCCTTACAAACTTGTCGTCTATGGTATTCTTAAATCCAAGTTAGGATATTATGGTCTGAATGCACAGACAACTGAATGGCAAAAAACCCCGGAAGGATGGGTAGGCTCCAAGGGCAGTAGCTAATGGGACATGGTCCCCCGAGGGGCTCATTACAAGCAGAATACCACAGGGATCTACATTGTTCAACATCTTTATCACTGACCTGGAGGAGGTAAGTCAAGTTTGCACCTAATACCGAACAGGGAGAAGCAGTGGATATACTAAAGTGCAGGGCCACCTAGAAAGGGACCTAGACAGGGTGGAGGAATAGGCCAGCAGGAACCTTGTGAAACTGAACAAGGACAAATGTCAAGTCCTGCACCTGGGAAGGTACAGCCTAAAGAGCAGCGCTGCTGAGGACCTCAGGGTCGTGTTAGACAGCAAGGTGAACATGAGCCTGCAGCATTCTCTAGCAATCAAGAAGGCCAAGAGCATCCTAAACTATACTACTATAAGCATGGCCAGTAGACTGAAAGAAGTGCTTGCCCTCACTTTACTCAACACTCATTAGATAGCATATTGAATACTGTGTTTAGTTTTGGGCCCCAGAGTACACGAAAGCTGTTGATCAACTGCAAAGAGTTGAGTAGAGGGCCACCAAGATGGTCATGGGGTGGAGCACATGCTCTGCGAGTAGAGGCTGAGGGACCTGAGCTTGTTCAGCCTGTACAAGTGATGGCTTTGGGGGGGACCAACTAGCCAGGTGCCAGCAGGTCAACAAGAAGACATAGCCAGGCTCTTCACAATGGTGCACGCTGGTAGGACAAGAGGCCATAGACAAATTGAAATAATAGATGCTTCAACTCAATAGAAAGAAAACACTTTTTCACCATTAGGGCAGTCAAGTAGGGGAACAGGTTACCCAACAGGTTATGCAATTTCTGTCCTTGGGTGTTTTCAAGATCCTACTTGAGAAACACCCAAACAACCTGGTATGATGGCACAGCTGACACTGCTATGAGCAGGAAGTTGAAACATCTTGAGGTCCCTTCCAATCTGAATTATTGTAGGATTCTATGAAAAACTAAAAAAATTAAACAACCCTACATAATTAAGAGACTAAGTAGCAATTTTAAATAAATTGAATTTTAATTTTAAATAGAGTGTTTTTTAATTAAGCTTATTTGCTGTTGAGGTCTCAATTCTAACGTAGGAAATGGAGAAATCTGAATGCAAAGAGCAATGCCTCAACATTCTCAGACCCCAGTCCTGCAAATCAGGATCCTTTTGAATGTATACACTTAAGTATATGGTTGCACAAAACTGTCTTAGAAGTGGAGGGATACATAATATAGCCTGGGTAAACATTTAAAAAGTTTTAAAAATTTGTACAGTCCCAATCCTGCAAATATATAGACTTGTGATTTTAGGTATGGAGCTATGCAACACAGAATAGACCAACACAGAGACAAATAGACTGATGTGCACCGACTTGTGCCTTTGATAAAGTATTATAAAAACATGATTTTCTAAATGTTCCATTTGAAAACATCATAAACCATTGTATTTTAGGCAGGAAACAGCTTAGCTCTATTAAGCTTGGGAAGCAAGAATTCACTTCACAGAGGAACTTACAGAAGATTTCTACATTTGTAGCTAATAAAATTCAGTTAAAGACGGGGATCTACTGAGTTTGATGGCAGCTCAACCAAACCTCGTAGGAAAGACGTAAAAAACAGAATCCCAATTCACTCATTAATGAGGGAAAAAAAATAAATTATTTAAACACTAGGATTTAACCTGTTATCCAGGACTTCTTATTCTTGCAGTCTAATGGACTATTTTGGAGAGGGATCCTTGAAAATTAAAGAAATTTGATATGATATAGAAAGAAGAAATCTTCTGTATTAATGAAAATTATTAAGCAGATGTAACACTTGAATGAATCTTTGCCCTTTTTCTTTAGCTAATTACAGAGATGCTTATTGTAAGGCTCAAATATTGTGAGCTTCTGAAAACAGAAAGGGGAAAAAATCTGCAAAATAAATTCTGTAGCACATTGAATCCCCCCTCCCAAAATATATTAAAAAAAAATTAGCATTTCATCTGAGCCAAGGTATTTTCTGTTCTCTTTCATGTGTCTTTTTGTCTACCCTACTGCGATGTGTGTCCTGCTCAGTGTTCTCATTTTCCTCTAGGACCAAAATCAATATGTTCAAAAGAAATCCACTGAAGTCTGTCTTTATTAGTTTGTTTAAAAATCACACTCCCGGGACCTTATTTTTTTTAAAAAAAAAAAAAAATGCGTGTCTTGACTATACAGTAAGTTCAGCTATTTCTTCATGTATCTTACTGTTTGCTATTTCCTTTTACGTCCTCCTTATCTATCAGGGACCAAACCCTCCTCAAAACCTTCATTTGTATGCCTGACTTCTGCCCGCTCCACACAGACCCTTGAAGCCTTTCGCAAGGTACGGAGTACTTTCAGCTCCCTCCGAAATCAAAGGCGGCTCAAGGCAATCAGCACCTCGCATTCACCATTTCAGTGAATCAAATTCCACGCTCCTGATGGCTGTAATGACACTGCAGCTAATGCAGGCTGCCTGCAATTTATGAACAGTCCGAGCATCAGCACCACCATTCATCACTTCGGTAACGTTTACAGTGTCACAACTACAAAAGCCTGAAAACGTTATTTAAGTCTTCATAACATTTTAAAGGGACAGAATTCTCAGGGGATAACAATTTAGTCCTTAAATCTGAAGTAACAGGAAAAGATTAAAACAGCATTTAGAATGCAAAACATTTTAAAAAGCAAGTTGCATGGTCTGACAATTGTCCACTAATGTCTACAAAGAACAAAACAGTATTGATGAAAGAAGATTCATTCTTTGGTGTTGGAATCACACAACAGGTATAAACTTAAAAATGTGTACCCATGCCTCTTTTTTTAATCACAAATCTCAGCATTTCTTAAATTCACACATTCACACATCTTAAATGCCCACATTAAACAACACATTTAAATATAAGCCCTTACAGTTACAAAGGATTTAAAGCAGAGTGAATAAGTAGGGGTTTAAAGAGAGTTAAATATTACGTGAGAGAATTGGCAAGGAAAAAAAAAAATTAAAATTCAAGTTACCTTGTGAAAAAAGTACTGGGTGGATTTTAAACCCCCCTCCATTCTTCAGCCTTTGAGGAAGCTGTTCAAAATGGTAGCTATCAAGGTAGAAGTAAACTTTCAGGGTTTGCCGGCTTCCTTCTGCTTGGTATGTGATTGGTACATCTAAGGATACAGTCAGTGTTACTATTTCACTAAAAGTAATGACACATTCTTTCCCAGAAATTCTTGCACCCAAAATTCACACAGTTAGATAAAAATCACTGCAGACACAAAAATAACAGTTGCAGTAATTTACATTATACGAGGGGTTGCTGTGGTCACTTTTGGCCTATCCATGATCAGGAATTAGATAAACAGAAAAGCACCGTCATCTTTGCCAGCCTGTCAATGGCAGCAAAAATACTATGCAAATAATGTGTTTGACAACATCCTACTTGTATTCCCTGTAAATGTGAAGAAACACCTACGTACAGCACATAGTTTGAAATCACTGGAAGGATACCGTTAGCTATATTTCACATGCCTTCCTCAGGTGCACGAGGTATAAGGTCATTGTGATATACAGAGTCAGATCCTCCTTAGATTTGTGTGCCATAGAACACAAGTAAATATAAAGTAGCTACCAGCATATTCATTAAATTGTTATTAAAAATCAGGACTCAACTGAGAAAACAAATGTACTATGGTAGAATATATAAAACTGTAAGAGCACATTTCATTACACTTTGACAAGCTAAATGTCTTAATACATCAATTGGTGTAGAGTTCAGGGTAAGTAGCAGTATCATTTTGCAGTTACAGTGATTCCCCAACATACCTTGTGTGTATTATGCCAGATGGAATGACCATTAGCAAAAGTTGAAGAAAATTTTCCATTTAGCTAAATCTCTCAGAGGAAGTCAGTTTAACTAAATTTAAGCTTTGTATGTATTTCCTGTTTAAGTATCATTTCCATACATAAGTCTCCCAGTTGAAAACAGTAACAATAAAATTTAGTGATTTGCATTAAGAATATTATTATTTGGTTTTCACACTGCATGCATAAATTATTTTGTATGTAAATGGAAAAGATTCCAAATGAACATTTTTCACTATTTTTGGTAGTAAGACTTTTTTTTCTTTTATCGATTATTCATAATCAAATGGAAAAATCAAATTTGCCCATTCCTTGTCTTCTGTAACCACAGACAGGACGACTGTCAGGATGACTGTGGTGGCAGCACTTAAATCAAAAGGAAATATGGAGTTTATTACAATCCTAGAACACACGGACTTTCCATTTATCTCTGGTTTAGCACAGACACCTCAGCTGGAAGACACAGCAACATCAACAGTTCATGACATAGGCACAGGGTTAACTCCCCATTAGGATGCCCTCCTGTAACTCCAGTTCCATGTTGCTACCTGGCTTGGCAGGGCTTCCTTTTAAAACAAACACTCTGAACAGGATCCTTACTTGAATTATACAGAAATAGATACGGTCTTACATAGGCTAATTGCTACCTGACTACCAGCCCTGTGATAATTAATTCTTTGGAGCATGGGCAGCTTTGTGGAGGAGCTTTGTGTCTTCTGGTTTTGGTTACTGCAGAAGCTCTCTCACGTGTGGTCTCGATCCAGCAAGGGAATTGTTTTAGAAAAGCTTGATGCGAAGCAGACATGCCTTCCTCCTTTCCCAGGGGAGTTATGAGACTTAGGGAAAAACGAGGGCTTTTTGCTCACTAAACAAAGTTCACTGCAAGAAAATCTCTATTGGCTGAAAACATATTAATAAAGGAGTGGCTGAAAATAAGCAAAGCGTCTAAACAGAAGACTGCGAAGAGAGTCCCTCCCTGCAAGTTGGGCGAGTATTGGGAGGAGGGGTTCAGGACCCTGATTGTCTGCACCAGCAGGTCTCAGAGAAAGTTTCTTGCACAATTTAAAGCTATTCTAATAGTGTTTACCATCTCCTTTCAATGAATTCTTCCAAGATCTACTTTGTCTTTCAGATGACAGAATTAAATTGTTTTTGTACTTCTCCATATCATCTCAGTTGCACTTCACTAGTAAGACCTTCAAGGTTATTTTACACTCAACTCTTCAACAACAACTAGATCTTCCAGGGACTTTCCTGATGCAGTCACATACTCCCAATGGAAAATTCAGATAAGCAAACAGTTTTTCCCCCCAAGGTTACTGACGCTGCTAGATAATGATTCTGCATTGTCACTGATGTTAGCTGTATTTCAGGAAAGCTAGGAATATTAGGAGAGCTGCAGATCTACTCATTCTCCATAATCCCAAATTATATAATATTCCCTGTGGGAAGTAATGTTCTAGGAGAGAAAAATGTTAGAAACAGAAAATGTTCAAGAACATTAGAGCCCAAACAATAATAATAATTACTCACTCGCAACTAGTGGTTCTGGCTCTGACTGTCTGAAGTAAAAAGTAACTTTTTCCAAGTCAAACAGTGCAACCAATGTATCTTCTAGCATAGCTTGCTCATCAGCCTAAAAAAGGCAAAAGAAAAAGTGAAATGGTCATTGCAGCCAGATGTTTTCCCCAATCAGAAATAATATGAGAGCAGGACATAAAAGTAACTACCGAATGTTGCACAACATTTCACTAATGCAGTGTATAACCTAATTAACTCCTAGATAATGTAAATATCTTTGTTTCTATTGGCACTTTCCCTTTTATTACCAGTCCAAGATCATTAAAATTAATGTTATTGTTTCACATAGTAAATTAAAAGGCAACTTATAGCTACCATTAATTCTCATGGCTTTTAAGCAAACAATACTGTAATTATTCTTCATGTAAGATACCAGACTTCAAGAGCTTGTCTTGACACTGGGTCTAGCTTGTAAACTAACAGAGGGGAAATGTGAAAAACAAATTATTCTTTCTAAAAATTTTCTTTTAAAAATGCCGTAACGTTAGCATTTCATTTATAAACAACAGATGACAGTTCACCGTGTCCACTCTAAGTACCAATAATTGAACCAGTAGCTCCAAACAAGTACAGTTCATGGTGATCTGCACCTTCATCTACAAAACTCAAGATGCAAATCAAGTATGTAGATATGCCAATATTCTGATTTGCACCCACAGTTCACTCTGTGTACTCCTGAGCTAAAGAGAGAGCTGAAGAGATCCAAACTAATTCACCAAAAAAGCTTCAAGAGGTAAATTGCTAACTTCTCAGGACACTTTACTGAACCTTTAAAAAGGAAAATAGTCATCTACAAGTATGGTTATCTTGAGTTAAATATGCAGAGCAATTACAGCAGAAATCAATAGTCACTTAAAGTAATTCTATTCTTTATACAACCCTCCCCTAGCACCTTAGGTTAGCAAGAGCCAAATGGAAATCTGAGGTGTGCATTTTTCCCTCTCTAAGAACTGAAACAGCAGGAAGGCAAAGAATAATAAATAAGCTGCCTGTAAAATGAGAATAAACTATAGCTTACTGAATTATAGAAAGGAACCCCTGCCCCCATGAATTTCCCTGATCTATATAGTGAAATAGCATTCCCCCTTGTATTTATGAAAAAGCAAAGCTGCTAGAAATATTTTGTCTCCTGGCTCATTTTATGAAGTCTCTATGGACAGAGCAGTTTCATCAGTAGAATAGTCTGAAAACCATTCAGTGATATGGGAAATCTTTGCACAACTGCTCGTTCTTTACTGAACTCTAGCCATAATGAGTATAATTTCCTTCAAATATCCTTGTTTAAAATAACATGGATCATTTGTAAGCAAAATAGTGCTGAGAAGGTATTGAAAAGGTTGCCTTTAAATGCTTTTCCCTCGGTTAACAACAGTTAGACAGAAGAGACTAAATTTAGTTTTATTTTCAATTCCAGAATGCATACTGCTGGTATCTGATTACGTGAAAATTGCTACGAAACACACATTTTCACTGCAAAGGAAATCTCTACAATCTTGAAATAAAAACCAGAAGTGTTCAGTGCTGTAAAGACAACAGTTATTTTGTGCTAACATGACAACTAAGCACATGGAAAAACATAAGACAGGCACCAATTGAATTTACTCTTGAACGCTGAGGACTCCAGCACCAGGACGTGTTGGGGCTGCATGGTGCTAAAAAGCATCCAAGACTCAAGACATGAGCCCAAACTCCCCTGACGGTGCTTTCTTCACATTCTCCTCAAGTGGATAAAGAGCCCTCCCGTTTCTCTCAGGCACTGACTTTACCTGTTTTTAAGCTGCTCACCTCATCCTGACATACCCTGTCCCACACAAGCCCACGTAGGTACCTCAACCACCTGTGAGGTACTTGCTCACACTGGCTCAAGTCAATGCCCTCCAACAATACCACAGACTAATATTTTATGACTGATTTAGAAATACCTTTATTTTTATTGATCTCTTCGCCTCTAAAGTTTATCAGGGCAACTTGTCAGCAATTTGCTGCTGAGATAGACGAGGCAAGGGAAGAACTTCTTGGGTACTAGAAACATCCTGTTATTTGTGTGGATTTTTACACAGTAGGAAGTACCAAATCAGTTACTTTCAGTGAACAACTCCAGAGGTTGAGAAGACTGCCACGGAGCAGACCCCACAGACTGCTTCACAGTTCTTCAGGTTAGCAAGAACCAGTCTAGTGTGAGAAGCAGCTTAAATAGTTGAAGAAGCACTTTGGATAACTGGGGATCAGAGGACTACAAAGCCATGTCCCTTTTTTAATTGTTTCTCAAGCCATGGCTCTTCGCCAGGCCTTGTGAAGAAATAGCAGATTTCCAATTACCCTGACAGGCCACAGGGATTTGCCCTTTGACAGGAACAAAACAAACTAGCATGTCTAGTCCTTCAACTACTACAGACCTATTACTTTTTGGGGAAAGGGTCACAAAATTATCCAAACCAGGTATTGTATTTATCTTGCGCTGCTGCCTATCACAAACTAAAGTTCTGGTTATCACCTAATACTACATTCACTCCTAGGGAACAGCTATGATAGTGGTGGGGAGTCAAGGGTAAACTCACTATCTGCTAACTCAAACATGATACTGTCTTTGTGGAAAACGTAGTTCATAGTTCTCAGACAAACATTTCCCATATCTGTAATTATCTACATCACAAACTTTCCACATAGCAGCTAATTAAGAAACAAGCAAAGCACGAAGGACACAGAAAATCACATTTATAACTAAGGCTGCAGAACCATGCCCCTGGTTCAGGGAACAAACACAGGCTGTGACCAAGTGTGCCACATGAGGAATCTTACCAGATTAGGCGAGAGCAGGGACTGGAAATGAAGGAGAAGACCCGCACTGGCTATCTGTTCCAACCACCTTCTACTGGCCTCCAGCGTCTCCATTTCGTATTCTTTGTTGTTGTCAAACATCTGATTTAAGGCCACCATTAGTTGCTCTGAAAAAGCGCAGACTGTGGCCACTAGGCTCTGACAGAAGACCATGTCTCGCCTCAGTTGTATCTCGCTATCTGTGATAGGTAAAAGCCAAAAGAGGAAAAGCAAAAATGGAGCAGGAGATTAATTAACAGCAAAGGCACTGGGCTAGATTTTTTTTTTGTCTAAAAAACAAGTCATTTTAATGTAAGGTAAATTACAAGTTTACAGCCTAATGTTATATCCCAGTAAATAGCACTCTACGACCAAAACTGCCATTTCCCTCTTTAAAAGGTTATTTTGTAACTCTGAAATTATATAGAAATATTTTTAAAACCTGGAATTTAAATTAGTTCTTCACAAACAATGTATGTTTATCTTGTAGATATTAATGTATGTGCCATCAATTCTATGTACTTTTGATGTTACAAGGTGAAGGATGTGACTCAGATCTCTCTGCCGCAATGTGAGAACCAGCTGGGCACAAAAATATTTACTTTCCACAGGGAAGCAAGGATAGTCAGAAGCTCTCTGCATCATCTCGTCAACTCCACAGCTACCAGCTGGGTAGGGCAGATGAAGACTGCCTGCTGTAAAGTGCACACAGGGCATATAGGAGTGTTGCTCCCAGAACACAATCTATCCAAATACTATATATATACGTGTGTGTGTATATATATATCAATATGACATCTATAAAATAAGCACAGAGCAGTATCACATATCCAGGAAGCAGCAGAGATTTATGGTGTCAGGAAAGTGCAGGACAGGTCCCTAGGTAGAAGTCTGTGGAACCATTAGCAGCTGATTAAAATTAGGGACTAGCAAACCTATCAATTTATTCTGGAGGGCACAGGCATTAGATTAGCTAAAGGTCAAAAGAGTTAGAAAGGGAAATATGTTCTCAATAAAGCACAAAATTGTGGTGATAAATATTCAGTGCTTCCTTCTTCTCTTTTCTGAAGGTCTTCAAGTATTTTTATCACTATGAGCTGTTAGGCAAACATCAATCACAAATGGTACAGGTAGACTTAATCTTTCTCAGAGCAACAGAAGAAGTTTAGGTGATATTGAGGTCTTTCTGAAGCCTAAAATCTTTGTCCTCACTTTTATATTCCTCTGCCTCTAAGAGGCTTAGCTCCTTTTCCACCTTCTCTGTGGAGCTGGCAAGACTTTAGATAATTGGATAAGTCAGCAGAAATAATTCTGTACTCATAAAATTAAAACCGACTTTAAAAATACGGTTTTTTTGGACTCCAAGAATTTCTCAAAGTAACTCCATTCTATCGGTTTTCCTTCTGAGATCTTCTTCAATCTTTTCCTTGACTTGATAATAGTGACCACTCTCTTGCTATCATTTTGATTCCATTTGCCAGCCTCTCAGGATCTCAGGAATGTTTTCCGTAAATGGTCTAATCACTACTGCTTCTGCACTGTGACTCATTGCTTTTTGTTTTGATTATTAAAATTAGCCCCTCTCTCCCTCTCTTTCCAATCTCTCAACTTGTGTAGAATCCAGTACAGACAAAATTTTCACCTTTAAAAGCTCTACCCACCTCCAGCTTCAAAAATCCCACTGGCTTCTCCAGGGTCAAAAACTTTCCAATGTCACAGCAGCGCTCAGGGATTTTGAGCCCAACACACATTCTCTCTCCTTGCTTTGCTCAATTTTATCTCTGTTTGTCTACCAGCAGCTGACTTCCAGTGTCTTCCTCTGTATTGCCTGCTTCTGAAGCAGCCCACTTGTGTCTCCAACACCTAATTTCCAGATCTCATTTAATACTACTTGAAAATCAGATGCTGCATACAAGAGCACTTTGGGCTCTTTTTACAAAAAGATTTTTATACAAAATAAACTACAGAAATCAGGAACTTAAGAAACCATATAAATAGCGAAAACTGCTTTAAAAAAATCAAGTCTGGGGTATTTTCTCAGGTCGGTTCTTGTTTTAAAACATCTGAGGAATTACTAAAAACTTTTATAATATTTGGAAGAAATCTGACAGCAAAGAAATGTTATATTCCCCTTTATAAAACTGCTGTTACGTGTCATAACAAAATCATGAAATAGTAATGCATTCATATAGTGCTGCAAGATGGTTAAAATAATCAGCTTTTACAATCAAACGTAACTGCCTACTCGAACACTCACACACCTACAAATGGTAGAGAATCTCCAGCCGTAAGTATTATTTTCTAAATACTGTTTTACCGACATTTATTTTGCAGACACACATGCCTATTTCGTGTATTTGAAGCTATATGGGGTGATTGTAGTGTAATACACAGAATAATCAGACCCCTTCCAAAAATGAAGGACTTAAAAAAAGGCATTCTCTAAAAAAAAATAAAAGGAAAGGTATGGGTTAAAATAGTAAGGTAAGTACGGAAATAGATGGGAATGAAGAGAGAGAAAAAAATAGCAAATAGGAAAGCACCAAAAAGAAGAAAGACAGCAGAGACACTGTGCACAAGCTCAGTGATTTAGTAGTTACTTCATCAACCAAGATCCAAAGTAAATGACCAGAGAAGGTATTTTGCATTAAAAAAAATGAATGGGCAACATTTGTTAGAAATGTCTTTGGAACTGTCGTGTTCTTCAGGAATCCTCACTGTAAACACACGGGTAAAGTTGTTGATTATCAGGTTATCATCTCTGAGATTTTTCCCCTTTCTCTAAACAAAGTATTTTGTTAAAAAGCAAAAAAAAAATATCTGAAGCCATCCACGTTCATTTCCCCCACTCCCCAAAAAAGCAAAATTACCTGTGTACTCAAGAAGCGCCAAGAGTATTCGTGCCTTCACCTCTTAAAGAAAAAAGAAAATATATTGAGGTCACAGTTAAAAGTGGTTTCACCAACATAATAATGCATTTGCAGCTTCTCATTTTACACCATCTTAACTCCAACTTCTTCTGTAGGCAAATCCTGATTTATACCTACAAAACAGTAATGAGTCTCAACTTCACTTAATTTTACATACAGCTTGATAAAAAACATACTAATCAAAAGCACCAAAGCTGAGATCGGCACATGAAGAGGCAGCTGCGATCTCAGAGTACATGTGCAACAGCTGCACAGTGCAAGTCCACAGTCTTAAAACTTTGAAAAACAAGACCAGTTTTCACTGATTCCCACACTACCCCAACTCCTTCTTTTTTCTTCTCCCTCTCTTGTGCCATACTTAGAAATCTCAAATTATCCTCATTTTAATGTATACCAAAGCATCCAGGAAAAATACAACAGCATTTTCACTTTATTCTCAGCCTTCAGGATTTTATTTTTGCTTCAAACATTTATTTTCACTTAACAATCTATGAAGTAAAAAAGTACAGATTAAAAAAAGTCTTAATTTACAGGCAAAAATTTTGTTTTATATCTCTTTACACGTTTTTTTTCCCCCCTTTGTTTCTTTTTTTCTTTGGGGGTGGGGGTGTTCCCAAAGTTTGCAGGATGAAGGAAGTGATTATTCCCCTCTACCACGTACCAGAGCACAAATTTAAATGCATCAATCACCACTGCAAGGAACAGGCAGATTAAAAAACTGACATAATCTCAGAGAGTGTCAAACATTCAGCACATCAGCTGTCCTACAGTAACTGCCTGTATGAACACACTGCTACTTCACACGCTTTTGCATCTTTCCAAACTTTCCGTCGTACACCCAATTTTCTGTTTAGTCCTAGTCCAAACCCTGCTCAATGGACTAGCAGAGCTGCTATGGGATATATGAACAATAGGACAATTTGGGAATATGTTGCCCCCTACTAAAACTAACATAATAGGTTTGAAATTTGAATTGTTTAATTTTTGTATACAACTCAGGTGATGGAACTGACACTGGAGCTGACTGTATCAACAGCACAGTCTGGATTCTCTGTGTACTTGAATATATCTATGAAAAGCTAGAATCTTCCCCAAGGGTGACTATGCTTAAAAAAGGAGAAAACCTTTCAAGCCTGATCTTTATCTGTGCTGTACACATATTGCAAAAAGAACTGGCAGTGCCTACACTTCTGAAATGCATGCCCACGGTATCTCAAATGCAAGCATCAAAACACTCAAAATTACTGATTATTCTTGAAAACTGCCTGGTCTTTGCCTTAGCCTTCTGTCTTTTGAAAAAAAAAAAAAAAAACCCACAACAAAAACACCAAACCTGCAGACATTAATAATTTGGCATCTTGGAGTCTGAACATAGCTTAGTAACTGAAAATACAACATCGGGAAATGCAGCTTTTATCTGAAGAACTCAGACACACTGAAGCTATTACTTGCAGCTTGCTTTATATGAGATTTGTTGAATCTCTGAATTCAAAAGCATTAGAGGTATCTATAAATAATGATTTCCTGCTTATGGGAAGATTACAGGACACTGCAACTCTCCTTTATCATTGCTATAAGTCTTCTGTGTTTCAAAATATACCCACAGGCAAGAGAGTATTTTTAGGCTTTTTGTATAAGCCGAGACTTACCTGGCGTTAGGAGAGAACATTGGATGTCAACCATTTGCTTTTCAACAAATTCCAAATGCTATGGAAGTTTTCACCTCTTCTTGCTACATGGCATACAGAGAGGAGTAACTCCTTAGCAACTTCTCTTTAGATCATATGATTTGTAATGCAGGATGACTTCAACTTCTTTTATTCTTTAATTCTTTTGTATTTTTTTTTTCCTGTTATGATATTCTGATCTTTGCCAGTAAAGGGCAGATTTTATTTTTATTTTGTTTCTGACATCTGAAAATATTTTTGAAATAAGACTAAGATTTGTACTGCATATATTATGATTTAAGTTGAAATACATTTTTATGCCTTTAATGACTGAAAGGCTCCTTCACTCCTCATCCTAATTTAAATTAAAATACATGTGGACTTTCTCAAGTGCATAGTACTTCCTGTTTAAACTCGAAATTATTGTGCTAGCAATACAACTGCGCTTCCTTATGCAGTTATGTGGCTAGCTGACTAGAAATTTGACTTGTCCTGAAACAACTCTTCTTTCAAGCAAAAAATCTTACCTTTTTTTTCCTTTGGGAAAAAGCAACTACAGAAATTTCTATTCGTCTTTGCTCTCTTTACACCTTTGTACTGTTATGCTGGCCAGTTTTGGTTTTGCTTTCCTTCTGAAGCATCCCTTTCCTCCCATAAATCTTGTTGATATTCCCAATTCTCACATTAATATCTCGCGTACATCCAAAATTCTGTACCTACGTTAGTTTTTCTCTTTACAGCGACCACTGAATTCCTGCCCTGACTGGTGCTGTCTCCTGCACCGAACTCAAGCACTCCATCTTCAAAGATCTGCCTCTGCTAATAACTTGTCTTTATCTTTATTGGTTTAACAATTTAGTAGGCTCAGTCACTCCAAGAAATAACTTTCATCTTTGCTTTAGTTACACAGCTCCAGATAAATCCTCCTAGAATCTATACACTATTTCAGAGAACTCTTCAATTCTATCAACTTGATTAGCCTTCTAGTGCTGCCTTTTACTGTAACTATAGAAAACTTTTTTCTCTAATGATATGGTAGGACAAATTAAATGAGACAAAGCAATCTCCACATATGTTCTAAATTTACTGTCAAGAAAGGTTTGGTTGTTTTTTTCCTTTTTTTTTTTAATCTGTGCAAACCTTCATAGATTTTATTTTTTTTTTTTTTTAGAAATTGTTCTCCCAATTCCAATACTAATAAACAGAAAACTGACAGACCAGAACGATCATCCTCAAGGCATTCTGATTTTTCCCATTTCTTCATCCTTATTAAACAAAGTAAATAAAAAGAATCCTAAGATCTAGGACTTAATACGTTTCATTTTTGTGGGGCTCCCATGTCTCCTTCTGCTTTAAAGCACTAATCGGTCTAATCTAATACGTCTTCTACAATGCTACAGAACAATAAGTAACAAATTGTGATTTTTTATGAAAATAAAAATGAGTCAGTTTTCAATAAGGAGATGCATTTACTGAAAGCATTCATCCTTACTTTAGCATTCATCAACAATGGTTAAATATGTTTATAACAGCTGGAGGTTTTAATTACAATTATTTTTTTTCTGCATGGTGAACAAAGTTGTGTCTGTGGTCTCCTTTGACTACTTCCTCTAGAACCTGCTAGAAGAGACAAATATATCTACTTTCCTCAGTTATTAAAACACTGCTTTTTACTTATAACCAAACATGAAGATTCTTCTAGAACCCCAAGATTTTGTTCAACTTGTTCTCATAATCCCAACTAAACCAGTCAAATTAGGGACATCTTTTGTTTTTTCAGAATCAAGCAAGGAAGAGGGAAAACGGGAAGGTAAATCGCTGTACTACATGGTAAGTTTTCATCCAGAAATAGCTAAGGGCAGTCCTAGTGGTTCTTCTAGGTACCCTGACCACTTGTGAACACAATGCATAACGGCAAGATTGGAAATGAGAAAACAAGAAATGAAGGTATGAAGGGAAAATTTAGCTGCTAAAGCACTATTAACCCTGCTTCATGCTCATCTGATTTCAGTTAGATCCAGCTGCTGGTTGTGTCTCAAGTTTAATTTATACAGGCCTAAGCCCGTCTAAATCACAGCAGTCTCCCAAAACCACCCAAGAGGCACATTTCTGCCATGAATCTTTTCAACACTAAATTACATATACCTGTCCAGACATGTCTTGGAAACTAATTCTTGAGAAGCACTTCTTCCCTTCTGCTCTCTTATTTCTCCATGCTATTTGTGCCAACGAAGCCACAAGAACCTAGGCTTTCGGGTATCCTTCACATCACACCAACTCCTTGGTCCCACAGGTAAATCAAAATTATGATGAAGATGTAGATCATGATTCTGCAGAGTACTTCTCAGGAACCAGTATTAGTGACACCAGTTTGGGGGGCAGGGGGTGGAATAGGAATCAAATTAAAGAAAAAAAAAAAAAAACCACAACAAAAGAATAGAAGGATGTAAAGACTGATGGTGAATAATCAACCTAAGATGATAAATTTACATGTAAACCCATGTATTTGATTAAGAAGATGGCATAGAAGCCAGTTGTTGGAAATCTCTGACAAAAGCTCAGATGCCGTGGATGGAAAGTGAAAGCCAAGAATATTTAAAATGAGCAGACAACTTCTGAGACACAGTGGTGAGAGAAGGTAAGGAACAGTGTGTGCTCTTCTTGAACAGCACAAGAGTAATTCCTTTTATATTTAGCTCTCTGACCGTGCACCATTCACAAGCATGACAGTTGCAATGTAGTCAGTTACTTTATCAACAGAGAAAACCTTCTTTAATCCTGATTTCTAAAAACACTAGAAAATGCCAACGGTTTTATTGTTCTGCAAACATCAAGATACCTTCTGGTAAATATCACCATTACATTAGAGTAGCATTGTGAAAAGATAAGTTTTGTATTATAGAGAGGCAGAAAGTCATTTGGACCTTGCTGAACTGAAATTTTGTGGTAGATTTAAAACCAAATTTATCTGTATAACCTCAGCTCAATATTAAGGGTATATGACCAATGTTGAAATGGGTTAAGTCTATTAATTCTATTTATGGGCACACAAGTTATGTGAAAATGGTCTGTTAGGCTTGGCTTCAGAAGGGGAGGCAATGAAGGACCATTAAAGACACATTTCCATTCCTCCTGAAAGAGGAATGTGAAAGAAACCATAATAATACTTGAATATAATTTGGTTTAGGCTGAAGATAGAACTGTAGAAAAAAAATCCAAAAAAATGTATTCATTTTTCACTCAGGGACAGCCACCATTAAACTAAAAGAAGTACTCTTAGTATTGGAGAGTCAACCCACTGTGATTGACTCCAAAACCAGGAGATGTTTTTGTGGTTGTTTTTATAATTTTCTAACCCAGGGTCTGAAAATATGATTGTATCTGAAATGAAAAATAACAAGAGTCAGAAGAGGAGGAAGAACAGTTTGTTTGGTTTGGCCGGTTGGATTTTGGAGGTTTATCTTAATAAAACTTATCAGAAAGTTCTTTTCCAGTGATCTGAAATTTAGCAGTTTCTTTATGGAACACCATGAAAATCAGGCAACAAAACAAAAAAAGCCAAACACACACACAAATCGTTTAAAGCTAGACCTGACACACGTTTTTGTTCTCACGTAGACTCCTAGTGCAAGTAGTTTTATAAAAATAATTTTGCTAATTATTTCTGTTTCTTTATCAAACAGCACAGGAAATAAAGCAGAAGCTACAGCAAAGATTATCGGGAGAGGAAATCCCAGTTACTTTCTTATGAAGCCAAGGGAGATAGCAGAAGACCCAGCTCACATTGTCACCTGGTGGTGAAGAGCAGCAGAGTATTAGGTAGCTTTTAGACAGACGTGGAGGAGGAAAAGCAATAGTATCAGTTGTGATGGAGTAAGTGAAAACCAATAGCTAAGATTTGGTTTCATGGCAGAAGAGGGAGCATGATTTTAGAGGGATAATGATTTCAGATCAGTGACAGATATGAGCAAGACATAGGACAAAAGTTGTCCTGCAGAGTCTTCATCTTTCCATTTAAGATGGTAGAAAAAAGGGAGTTTAATTTCAAGGAAAGCCCCATTTTGGTGTGTCAGTCCCATGAAGATCAGTCAAACCCAGCGGACTTCTGTTGCAACTAAAATAACATAGCATATGCAACATATGGTTCATTTGTTTTCACTTGTCAGAAAAGACAATTTTCTTTTCATTATCTGAAGCCAATAGGGTGAGCCTGAAACAGCTGAGATACTCCACTAACCTTCTAAGAACACAAAAAAGTCCTGAAATTCAGGCATTTCCCATAGACTACACTGCGTACAGCAAACATTGCCTAGCAGCAACATGAAGCAGTTGTATCTTTCCCCTTCCCTTCCCCAGGAACTCTATCATTAACAAAGTGTTTATTTATGGTCATGTTGTTCTTACTAACCTTCAACAAATTTTCTGATATTCTGGGCAAGACTCCGGACGCTGCTGGGGAGGTTCCAAGGGTCTTGCTTGATGTGGAGTCGTAGCCTCTTTGGACAGTTAAGCTTCGGTTCCATTTCCTTCTGAAATTCTAAGCGAGGACAAAAATAATATTTTTCTGCTTAAACCTCTTGAGAAAGTCACATTAAGACATTATTTCTTCCTAAATGTTTTCACAGCTCAAGGAAGTGTAAACTTATTTAACTCTAGTTAAATCTAGGGTGACAGGTCTAACAATCATGTAAGCTCCCTACTTTCGTCAAAGGAGAGAGAGAGCAGCATTCCTAAACAAGACTCTTTCTGAACCAGGTACATAAGATAGAAGGTGCCTGTCTCCATGGAGGAAACAGGTCCCTGGAACTTTTAGAGGCAAAATTAATTAAATCAGGAAATTAAACTTAAAACAAAATTACTTATTGCTTAACCTAGTCTATCTTTCAAATCACTGAAGTACTTCTTGTACGGTTCATGAAGATGGTGCAGATCAAGAATAAAATATCTGACTTGGCCACATCTTGTGTCCAACTGAACATTTATTATACCACTGAAAGGATAACATTTTGCTGTGTGAGCCTGCCAGATACTCAGTCTGAAAAACTGAGAAACACAGAACAGAAATGCTCTAAGTTCATCCCCATTATCTTGTTCTCAAAATAGGAAATAAAATTAAAAAATAAAACAAAACAAAACAAAACCAAAAGAGGTTATGCAGTCTTCCATGCAAATTCAGTGAGGGGGAAGTACTTCAGGTTTTGTAAAACCAGATAATTAGTGTACAGTAATTATGCTCAGTTGACTTCAGTAGGATTTTGGTGATTTATAAAAGCCAGAGATCTACCCTCTGGCCATCTAAAATCAGTTTTCTTTACAAAAAAACCCCACATACGCAGGATCAATAAAATCATAATCAAATGTATTAGAGACATTGATACAACCTTCAGACTCCAACTGAACTTTTTTTCCCCTCCTTTTTTTGTTTTTTAATCTCAGTTCACTGAAAGAAGTCCTTGGCATTTTTCATCACAGTCTTATGGCTACCACCAGATACCTATTTATCCACTTAGACTTAAACAACTATGTGAGTGTTAGCAGAGTATCTGACTTTACATACAGGATTTTTTTTAAAACAACTGATAATACTTATATAAGCATATATTTGCCATAAATATTACTGTGACTAGATATCTGCAAATTACTTATAAATCAACTTCACAAATAATATATCTACAAAAAATAACAAAAATCTGTCATTGGTAACAAAATAGATCAGAAATGGCTTCAGTAGTTGAGACAAAAAAATAATAAAAACACCTGCAATATACAAAACCTGTTTCTTGCTTCAAAAACTGCAGCAATTCTATAGTCAGTTCAGAGTCTGCAATTTAAAGCTGACTTCCCAACAAACTTGAAATTCTTTCATACATTGTGCAACAAAAGTGTAAGAAGCAGGTTTTCAACTAAGAATAAGACCTACGTAACAAGTACTTCAACAATCAATTATTGCAGAACATGCCAAGATTAGGCAAAATCAGTTCTTTAATACCCAGCTCCAGGAGCAGACAGCCATATCCATGTACCCTTTAAGCTGCCTTTTGATTCTCACAGATAGAATTAAATGTTACCTTGGAGGCCTCGACCTGGTGTAAAGTATTTTGTCTGCTCAAAGGCCCTCATCACAGCTGGTCCTTTCAGAAGATTGACAATTGAATCAACCTGTTGGGATCAAGGTTGTGTGAGAAAGATGTTTTTTACAGCAACAATTAGAAATGCTTTCTTTAAGAAATCTGGATTACAGAAAAGCAGCTTTCGATTCTTTCTTATCTAATGGCACTAGTTAAAGTAACAAGCTAGGGAATGTCAGACTAAATCTACGGATCTGTTTAACTTGCAGTTTTGAACTATTTACAGAAAACTGAAGGAGAATGAGTAAATACATACCATCCCAGTAAACAGAGGAAAGCAAAAGTAAAAAGAAAAAGAAGTATTTGCTAAAGCCATCTTTGCTCAATCATGGACATTAGTATCAAAGCCAAGAAAAATAATCTCATACTTGACCAAAAAGATGCTCCAAACAGCTATGGAGCTTGTCCTGTTTATCATGGGAGATTCGAACACTTATGGGAAGCTCATCGCCTGAAAAATATTTTTAAACAAATTGTTTAGAAGTTTCAGCATATTTTCCAGAATCTTTGTATCTTAGATCATCTGCTTTGCACATAGACTGATACTTAGGCTTTCAGGATTATAGGAACTGTTGTCCCTATGTATTTTGCATTTAGTAGTCACTCGGTAACAGAAATGGTTCTTAGAGAAAGGACCATGTTCAAAACCCAACTGGACATGGTCCTGGACAACCTGCTCAAGCAGGGGATGGGACTAGACTGGATGATCTCAACAGGTCCCTTCAAACCTCAGTCATTCTGTGACCAGAACACATGATTCTTCTATGCTGGAGAACACCAGACTAAATGGCTAAGGAGTGTGAACATAACATAGCAGACCAAAAAGTCACTGAAATGCATTCACCATAAAATTTTTGTAGGGACTCTACAGACCAATCACAATCTTAATGTACTTACTAATTAAATGGCTTTGAGATTTTAGTAATTCAACAAAAATACAGCGTCCAAATCCTGTACTTGATATGAAGCTTTTAGTAGTACACACCACATCATTTCCTAAGAGAGTACAAAGGAGAAGGACCCTCCTAGGTCACTGCCCTCAAGTCACTCGCTCTCTCAGACAACGGGTGATGCAACTTGAACTCTTTCAAAAGCTGTGAAAAATTGAGCTTAAAACTGTTTTTCCTCCTTGCTGTTGCAGTGACAGATAAGAAGTCGCTACTTGATAATTTATAACCCAAATTTATTCATGGTCAATCTAGACTCATTTTTCTTATGTCAGTGAAACACTTAAATAGCACTTTTCTCTCCTTGATTTTTTTTTTTAGCTCCTTTAGATGTCCTTACAGCCAGTAGTTATAACCCTTCACAGGATTTTAATTGCAACAGATGCAGTACAGTGTCAAAGACCCCTGATCTGGAGTTAACCAGGTTAGCTTTGGAACTAGGAGGAAATTAAGTTGTCAGGAGACGAGCAGCACTGAGCAGCAGTATTTATCAGTTTGAACACTGCTTGGATAGACATATTTTTTTAGGCACCTCAGTTGGTACTTCAGCTTGATGCTGAACAAGCGCGTATGAGCCTGTTTATATCTTAAGTTGAAGATACAGACCCTGGGTCTCCTCTTTTTTTAACAGCTCTTTACGTCCTTCATCTTTTCCTCTGCATCTGCTCAGCTCTAAGTATGTATCGCTTCTGGAAAGCGGCTGCCTAGAATTGCATTATTCACAAGGTATCTCAGATACCTTGCATAATGTCTTTCCTACTTTCCTGTCCCAGCTGAAAATACAACCAGCAATAAAATTTGCCTTCTCCATGGCCAAGTCTCACTGGTTGCTCATATTCAACTAATATGCCCAGTTCTCTCTTTTCCTAAATCATTCTCAAATGATGAACTCCCAGCTTAGAGCAAATATTTTTTATTATTAGTCCCTGAGCAAATGACCTTGTACTCCACGCAGTTAAATCCCATCTCACTCCTATTAGCAGCTGCATTTATTTAAATTCAATTTGTCATGGCATAAACAAGAATGTGCTTCTATGTGGTCTCACATTCCTTCCTACAAACATACACAGCCGTATCCTGCCGTCCGGGTGCTGACGCGGGCTGGGAGAGCATTCCACACTCACCTAAAATGCTCCTTAGTCTGTGCACTGTCAAGGTCAAGGCATCAAAGTGGTTAAAAGTAGTAAGTCTAAGAGCTCTTAACTAATTCAGTCTATTCACAGAGATGCTGGAATGTTGGCTCTCTTTCACATAAGGACTCTTTAAGTGCACCACCAGCTAGGCAGAAGCAAAATGATAATGCTTCTCTTACCAAGGAGGACGTAATTTTTAAAACAAAACCAACAAAACTGCCAGGCAAATGAAAAGCATAAAAACTGAATAAAAGGAACAGAAGACAGATTAATAGCTGACTTTTCTAAACATACCTGAATCCATTTCATCACTGTGAAAATAAGAGCTGCACTGACTGCTACAAATGCTGGTGAATGAGGCAATGGAGTTCCTATTGCTGTTGCAATCGCTTGAAAAAAACCAAACAAACACAAAACAAACAAAAAAAGAAATAAAGTCACGTCCATTAACACAGGCTCTGTATCACATTTATGGAAATTCTTTCCCCTTTCCCCTTTTAAATTTAACAATGAGCTAGTCTGTACAATTCTTTATCAACAATAAAATTCCTATACTTAGGCTATCATATAATTTGCAATCCTGGTAGGACTTAGAGGACCAGATTTTCAAAACAGATGATTCAATTGTCTCCCTTCACCTTGCATGTGAACAAGTACTTGCAGAATGATAATATACGCTTTCAATACAAAACAACCAACTTTTCTTACATGACTGACACTTTTTGAAACTGGGGCCTCAAATGTTTTAGTAACTCCACATTTATATTCTGTACTCCTAGTCCATAGCTACTACAAATGAAGAAATACTCTGGTTTATGACTTGCAAACTCGAGTCCATAATGGGTTTAGAAGAGATTTGATCCATTTGAGTAGCAGCAAAACTCAAATTACAAACTATTTTTTTGCTGCCAGCCAAAATCTAGCTTATGATCCCATCTCTTCCAGCTGTTCATTTCATTAGAGATGTATAGACATCTACATCTGTGACTTCAGTGAAAACTTCTGTGCATACAAAATGTCACCCACACTGGTCTAGTAAGGACATTTGGGGATTGAAATGTGTTGGGGTTTTATTTCTCTGCTCTTTTCTCTCAAAAATAAATTGTTCCATACAGAAAATAGATGGAGAACATACCTACTTATACAGCATAAACAGAGTAAAACATAGCCTTTTGTACTAAAAATCCTATGAATACAAATTTGAATTCAAAGTCTTCAGAGTCGCTTAGCCACACGAAGATAATTTAGTTTCAAAGCACGATACGCTTAAGTAATTATCCAGCAGAGGGAGTCTTAAAAACCCAAGTGAATATAAGATAATGCAGAAGTGTACCTAAAGGATATTTATATATAAGAATCTGGGTTTGGTTTTATGAATTTGGTGTACCCACTCACAAAGATATAAATATCTATATTTTATATATAACACTGCAATTATACACGTACCCATGTGCTCCCTACTTGTTTTCTTTGTTTTTGTAAATACAGAAGTGATCTTTTACTAGTTTTAGCGTACTGACTCACGTTTCCTGGCTAAGCAATACGTTTTGGACCCGTAGCCAATCAGGTAAGTGAATGGGGAAAACTTTTAAATGAAGCAATATGATATAATTACAATCATATGCATTAAGTAGATGAAAAGACATCAGTAACAACATGTTCCTAACAGAGGGTGAACAGTCCCAAGGAGTATTAAGAATTTCTGGCTAGATATTAAGAAATGTTTTCTAGCTAACTCTATTCACTTATTAAAGTCTCCAAAGGGAAGATGAAGGTTATTTAAAACTGGATTGTGCAAAGTATGAGAAAATAAAACACAGGAAAATTGGGAACAGATTAGCTATATCGTTCTGCATTTTTATTATGTTGTATCGCAAGGTTTAGAATGAGACCCTACAACACAAAATGAGAGCATTCTAACAGCTGAAATTAGCCTACTAGTTCTAACAATAACCACAGTGGCATTACGGGATCTGGAGATGTTAAGTATTGCCTAATGTAATTACTTAAGCAAAGAAACAAAAAATTCCTATCTCGTTCCTACAATTGTTCTAAACTCATAGATTTTACGATTATTCTGCACACGGAACCCTAGATTTTACCACTCCTAAACAGCCAGAATGGACTATAAATAACTGGAATCGGAATAAAGAAAATATTTTAAACAAAGAGACTCTCATGTCATAAGTCGAACTTTCTTTCTACACATACAAATCTTGTGCCAACTGGGGAACTTCCCAACTGGAGCAAGCACACACCACCGGAGCAGCTCCTGCACAGTTAGTTTGACGCATCATGGACATGCAGAAACCCCTAAACATGCTTCAGCTGGAACAGCACTTTGCTTGTGTGTTAGAACAAGATGGACTTAATCTATGCAAATTAACTCTACGTTTATTTCTGTTCAAACTTATACGTATATTTCTGTTTCTAGTCTAACAAAGAGTTCCCATTTACCATGCTGCAATAATCAAATATTAGCTTTTGAAAGAGATCTCAGCAACACAGGGTTCTGTAGAAAAATGATGACCCTACTGAGACTCTACCTTCTGAGCATAATAATGAACCAAGATAATGAACAAATAATGAACCCTTATTTTACTTGCAGCTAAAATTTTAATTTAGATTTTATATCGTGTAGTTAACCAATTCTCTCTAAGTAACAGAAGATGATCTTTGTAAAACCTGTGCTTGCAATAATTACTCCTTCCTTTTCAAAATTCTTCGTGTTTTAATTCACAGTAAATGTGATGCATTACAAATTCTAGAGATGAGATGATGCTACACTGTTTAGAGTGGAAGAAGGTGTAAAATGCATACTGAAAAACAGAAATTTTTTTTTCTTTAGATTAGCAAGAGTGGTGGCTCTGGCACCTTGCTTTCCATGGCAGATATTTGGTTTGTTGTTTGGGAACATAACAACAGAACTTATTTCTGTTGTGTTTTTTTTTTTTTTAATCTAAAGTAAAACTTTACAACTCTGGCTGCGATATCCTATGAATGTTAGGGATACCAAAATCTAATAACTGATCTGTACTCATAAAAGAGTTTATTGAACACATTTTGTAACACATCTTGATGCTAGTTATTCTGCTGCTAGAAATGTCTGAATCATTATATTTTGATGTTTCTCATAGCCACTTGACAGTCTACAAACCCACAGGTTTGATTGAGTTGAGAAATGAAAATATTATTAGTGAAGTTACCTGTAAGAATCCCTGTTGCTGATGGTATCGTGACCAGAATCTTCTTGTTCATCACCTGTCACACTGAAACAGACTTTCTTCCCGTTCCTTTCCCCCTTTTCATTATCACTGTCTGCCGGTATTAAAGGCTCAGGTGTTTTACGTTCTGATTTGGGAGAATATGTTATTGAAGAAAGAAGGCTGTGAGACAAAAAAAAAAAAAAAAAAAGAAATCAAGATAAATTCATGTTTTTCCAAAAGTGAGCTAACAAAAGGATAACATTTCTTGTCAACGTCCTCCAACTATTATTCTATAATATGTAGAGGGAATATCTTAATTTGGTTCATACCTATTTGAAACAAGGGAATAAAGTGACACATTCTGCTGTTAAAAAGTGTAACAGTGAAACCCATTAGCATTACGAAATACTCAATTTTGTATGAAGGCAATGATTGTGGCTGGGGAAGAAATACAGCACATTCTTGAACACTTGGGGTCAAATTTTATATTAACATAACTATTTTTAAACATGAACTGTGTAATTCGCAGCAACAATCAAGAGAACAAACCAAAGAAACTGTATCTCTGTGAAAAGCATACATTTTCTCCATTACTACTGTACCAGACATGCCAACCTGCATCACAAGCTATTTTCCTAAGGCATTTTAAGAATCTTTATTAACATATCTGTGTATTTCCTGACATTAAAAGCACCTAAGCTACTATCACTAGTAAAACTGATGATTAATCTACAAGTTTCTGTGACAACAAAAGTGACATCCAGTCAAGAAGAGAGAACAGTGCAGACTGCTACATTTAGAACATGTACAAGTACTGGAAGCAAAAGATTCATATTCTTGAGTGATTAACTCATATTGAGATGTTCTAATTTAGTTTCAAGATCAGAACAGCTATAATGGGCAATTGTCCTTTAATTCCTATTACTCAAACGCTCCATTAGAATGACATTGTCAAACTAATATTTGGATTTGAAAGGCAGCATTTTTCTTGCAAAACCTACCTTCTAACTACTTGAAACCAGAAGATACTGAATTAAGCCTATTTTCCTGTAAAGTACTCAGACACAGTAGCACAGGTTTACTGTAGGAGCTGCCTGAATGGTCAACTGGCAAACTTTCCACCAAATACATGGCAGGATTCAAACATATGTTAGATCTTTTTGTTAGACATAGCGCTGAAGGGAAACTCCGGGAGATGCATATCTTATGCGGGGGAAAAAAAAAAAAAAAGCTTCCCTAATTGTTATTAAGGGGTAGCATTCAGAATTCCTTCATTTCCTTTTATTTCATATATTAGCACTGTTACATGACGCAAGGGAGGAATTCTGATTTTAAGTAGTTTAGAGCTCCATCTTAATTTGGGGGGGCTCTGCCAGTTGAAGTAATTCATTCTTAATCCTAATACAGTTAAGTTTCACAGAATGGTCAGGGTTGGAAGGGACCTCTGGAGATCCCCTAGTCCAACCCCCCTGCCAGAGCAGGGTCACCTACAGCAGGTTGCACAGGACAGCGTCCAGGCGGGTTTTGAATGTCTCCAGAGTGGAAGACTCCACAACCTCTCTGGGCAGCCTGTTCCAGTGCTCCACTACCCTCAAAGTAAAGAAGTTCCTCCTCATGTTAAGATGGAACTTCCTATGTTCAAGCTTGTGCCTGTTACCGCTCGTCCTATCACTGGGCACCACTGAAAAAAGACTGTTCCATCCCCCTGGCATCCTCCCTTTAAGTATTTGTAAGCATTAATGAGATCCTCCCTCAATCTTCTTTTCTCTAGACTAAACAGACCCAAGTCCCTCAGCCTTTCTTCAGATGAGAGTTGTTCCAATCCCCTAATCATCTTTGTAGCCCTTTGCTGGACCCTCTCCAGCACATCCCTGTCTTCCTTGAACTGGGGAGCCCAGCACTGGACACAGTACTCCAGGTGCGGCCTCACCAGGGCAGAGAAGAGGGGGAGGATGACCTCCCTCGACCTGCTGGCCACACTCTTCTTGATGCATGCCAGGACGCCATTTGCCTTCTTGGCCGCCAGGGCACATCGCTGGCTCACGGTCATCCTGTTGTCCACCAGGAAGTTTGTTCAGCTACAGTTACATCAGTAACTGTATGTAACAACAGTACTGTATCAGTAACAGCTACCAATTTCTCTGTTCTTTTGATAAACATATTCTACCAGAAAACAACCTGATCCTAAGCTATTCTTGAAAGTTGAAGTTTCTGGACTCAGAGCGGTGACTTTTTGCATATAAAACACAGACAATGTGTTCAACTATAACATTTTTGAGTATACAAAAATAATATCCTGACTCTCAGGAATGGACAGAGTTTTAAGAAAGAAATTAAGAAACCATTTACTTTGGAAACGCAATGGAGTAGATTATCCCTATAATGCTGTCTGTTGACTGTATAGCAATGAATACACACCTCAAATGGTGTATCAAGCTTGGTCTCACTGAAATCATGACATGATAGATGTTAACATAGTGTTTGACATTAACTTTAGGGAAACAAAGATAATAATTAAAGCTTTTTAGCAAATCTTTTCATCATTTCTGCATAACTTTTTCTGGCTAGGAGCTAACAAGAGATAGACAGGCACATATTTATCCTACATACCAGTACAAAAGGTACTGATCCCAACTGTAACTGAAATATAGACGAGCTAAATAAAAGTTATAATTTTACTGGACTTTAAACCCACCCATCCACTAGGCAGACATCTTTTGAGCTACATGATGCCTTAACACCTCATATCAGTGTGAAAACACAACTCAGTTCTTCCCTATCACGTAAGTCATTGGTTAGCGTGATTCCACAAGGACAGGAAGAAAAATGGGACCCGTATTTTACAGCGGTGTTCAGTTTCTGCTAGAGCATACGTGTTCTTGAACGTGCCATAAGATAAATACGTTATGAAAATGTAGACCTTAGAAAATCATTTCTTCATACTTGTAAATGGAATACAAAAATACAAAAGGAGTTCAAAAAGGGATGAGACAAATTCAGGACAGATCATTTTAATAGTGCTCTTAAAACAAAAGGTCCATTCCAAGAAGAACTTGCAGCACTGCGTATTGGAAGATGAGATGAGATAAGGACAAGGATTAATCTATACTTTCGCTTTTTCTTGTTTCCTCGTTATTATCCACTTGTAGGAAAACAAAAATGGGCTTTGGGCAGATCCATTCTGGTAACTTCTTGTGGATTTTGTTGTTGCAAGAAAATAATCAAGAGTACAAAACAAGTATAATGAACTGCAATTTCAGCTCCTGAAAATATCTTCCCCTGAGTAATTATTTGTCAAGACACAGACAGACTATTATATCCTCTTCTTTTATGTGACTGTTTAGTCGCTGCTGCCAAGATCTCAGTAAAAGACTGATGAAGGTAGCTGGAGCTTTTCCTAAGGGAGCTTTTCACTTTCTCTCAGCAGGCAGGCTCTTTTTCTAATGAAGCTTTTTTTGCTGAACTACCATGAACGAAAACTGGAACTTTGGATAACAGAGTTCTGGAGCTGGTAGTTCCTGAGGACACTGAAGTGCTCTTAGAAACTCAATTCAGGGAGTCTAAAACACAGAAACCCAAACCTGGACGCAAAAAAAATCCCAATAATCATGCTTAAACAGACTTTTTTTTAGTGCTTTTTTTTTAATTCCTAAACACAGCACCTGCACATTATATTTTCTTTGGAGATGGGTCTACCCCTAGCAAAATTATCTTAGACGTCCATCTCCTAGGAGAGATATGTGAATGAGTAGTAACTAACCACTAGAAAGTCTGTAACTATGTAGAAAATTTCCATGAAACAGAGAAATTTAAATCTTGACCAAAAAAAATCCTCACACATGGAATTAATCCTATATGGAACCCAAATCAATACAATCCTAAAAGTATGTCAGAAACAAACAAAATCTGCTGTGGTCAATCAAAGCATTAAAAATGGATAGCCACAGGCAGCTACACGAAACCTATGCAACCTGTAAGCTGTTTTGCCTCTTCCTCACTCCCTGCAGCTCGGAAAACCTTCAAGCCTCTCATATATTCCTAACAGACATCTTTCCAAAAAACAGCTGGTATCGTGGGAACACACTGAGTGCATGTGAACCAAGAACACAGCAGAATCACCAGCCTGAAGGACTTACTTTTGTATAACATCTAGCATCAACGGTGGGTATCTGGCAATGGTACTAAAGAAGTACTGGGATACTATTAAACTGTTTGAACGAGGAGTCAATGGAACTTTGAAAGGCTGTGGAAAGGGGATATATGACTTTTTTGTGTCTATCTCTGTTTCTCTCTCCATCAGTACCGTACTTGTTCAATCCAATACCATCAAGAAGCCGTGATGAAAGTTGTTATGAAGATAATGCAACACAATCTTCTCTTAGATATCGCCTTCCCATAATCCCGAAGCTCTCACAGACCTGCTCTTCAGGTGAAACATGCTTGTTCTTCAGTTCTCCTTCATTCATTAACAGACAGGAGAGGTTGGGCAGATAACACTGCCGCAAGATTTTGGGGGTTGAGAGAGACCACTGCTGACCTCAGCGCAGAGCAGAGACATCTAGTAACATGAAAGAGCAACAGCTTTTTCAACAGTAGTGTTATAAAGGGTACCAAGTAGTCATTTAGTAGCCCAATATTTTTATCAATCAATATTATATAAATTTAGAATCGTGACAGTGTATTCTTATTTTCTGTCCTGATAAATTATAACAATGAGGATTGCTTATATAATAATAAGCAATTCAGTAAATGAAGATATCAATTTTGTTGTTGCCCATGTCATGACAGAAAACAGAGGTCCTCCAGTCTTTGTAAAAAAGTTCAAGGATCCTTATGTTTAAGCATATACTCCTAGAGGCTGAAGTATGAATATTTCTAATTAAAGCACAGCTCTTTTGATTATCCTATCTTATATACTTTATTTTTTGTTTCTTAGTAGTCCTAACTTTTCTCTCAAGAGTTAATTTGTAGCTGTAACTATGTTCTAATAGAATACACCGTGTACTGCTGAACTGCTCACACCCAGATAGTCCCAGCTCCCCTCTTTCCTGTTCAGCACTTTTAAGTAGGTCCCTTGGCTATCCCTGGCTTTCCTGTTTCCTGTATAGAACCGCTTTCCTCCACAGTAGTTAAACACTGACAGTCCACTCAGAGACTGTGAGGAACAAAGCATGAAAAGTCTGTCTTACAAACAGCAAAAGGTAAAATTCGCTAAATAAATCTGTGCACCTTATAGAAAAACTGCTACAAGGTCAGTCTACAGGAAATTTATGAAAGGAAAAAAAAAAAAAGTGAACCCTTGTGCTTACTTTCACAACTGTGTGACTCACAAAATGAATATATGTGTGTATATATATGTATATACCTGTACACACAATATATATGAGTGTGCGTGTGTGTGCGTTTATACATACATGAGTAAGAAAAAAGGCTCCGAAGTCCCTGTGCTTTTGCATCACCAGCTCAAGGGAGTGGAAAGGAAAGGTGTGGCAGATTGGTACCTGGAACTTCCTGAAATACTGACTGAACTTCCATATATAATTTTCTGACTTCCTTGACGAAGAGTGACAACAGAGGCTTTACAGACAGTCTTTTTTTTTAAGTGCACCCAAGCACTGAAATTATCTTAATTAACCGACTTCATCTTCAGGATGATAATTAGCAGAACTACTTAAAGGAACAGATAACAACAATTTCTTAAAATAAATTCAGGCCATTCTTACTTTCATTCCTATTGCAGTACGTAATGCTTTACAATTACTTATTACTGTTTAACTATTACACTACTATTAGGATAATACAAAAAAAATAGAAATAACTATGAAAGGACAAACGATTGTACAGTCTTCAAAATAACAGCAGAAGCAATGATGCACCACTTTTCCAAACTGGAGATCACTAAAGATTGGCTTTTAAACTCAAGAAAAATGTATTATATATATTTTCAAGAGGAATAATTTCTGACATTTGCATTACATACGGGATCTTTCAAAACTGAAAGACCTATCATCCTTCTTCATCCTATCCCAAGACAGGAAACAGCCTAGCGGTCACTTACCTCACAACTGGAAACACAAGATCTAAATCCTTGTCCTGAATTAGGACAAACTGTGATGAGACTCCAGGTCTCCCACATTCAAGTCCCCCCTGTCCTAATCACTCAAGAATGGCTCTCCCTAGATCCAGAGTTCTTCATTAAGGCAAATTTGTTTTTACAAAATGTGTAATAAATTAATAATCCTTCTATAGGTGAAAAATGCTTTGCCTACAAATTAATCTCTGGGACTATTCAGCAATACCTGAAGAGTTAAATAAAAGCTATTTTTTATACCTCTGCCATTTGTTTCAATTCCTAGTGAAATTTTAGATGACATGCGGGTCTCATATTTCTCTCACCTCAAAATAATTAGCATTTCCACATTTTAGAGAAAAGTGGGGAAAAATCAGAGATGCTGGGAAAAAGAACACAATATAGTATTACCTACACTTAAATTCTTTGCCTTATTTCAATTCTATCTGAAGTCAACATTGATTCCACACTACACAAAAAGGATACCCAGATTTATCAGTATCTTCAATGGAAAAACTAAAGGCAAGTCCAGATGGTAACATTTACTTACTCGTCTATTTGACAGACACATGTTTCCACCTCTTTCAGTGCAGCTTGTAATTTGAACAGCAATTTTTGATAGACATCTTGTGTTTCTAAATCTTCTTCTTTTAAGAGGTACCTCAGACCATGGCCCTCTTGCTGGCCAAGAGACTGTCCTGAAGGGGCAGCCATAGTAGTAATGGTATGTTGGACATAAATCATGGGATTCAGTTTACCTGGGAATAATCCAAAGAGGTTACATCGTTACCTTTTCTTTCAACATAAATTTTGACATTAGTAAAATACCTAAGAGATGTTGAAATATTTTCCTGCTTAAAACGTCACGTAATTATTTAATCTTGCATTTTATTTTGCATATCAAAGTCAAGCTATTTAAGGAAAAAGTTACTGTAAAATTATGATGAGCCTTTATTATGCTTTAAAATGAACCTAAATATTGAAAGCAGGGGCATTTCATAAAGGCTTGTCCTTAATTTTAATATTTAGGATGTAAACCTAAACCAGTTACCTTTTAAGGCTCTGCATCAGAAGCACTGGAAGTAATTCTTTCAAGCTCAACTGACTTACCTTGATCAGTGGTTTTATTTTCTTTTTCATGTGAAGAATGTTTTCTGCTGTCTAACTGTACACCAAAGGCACTACCAAGGGAAGTTGAGGTTTTAGGATAAGACACTTCCATCACATTGATATGGCAATTGGTTGGACAGAAATCACTGCTGTGAAGTGGTGAAATCTTTGACTTAGCTTGTTTGAAGGTAGGCCAAGCTCTGTTTTTTAATACTCTTGAAAACTAAAGATGAGAAAGAAAACAAAATTTTGGTTAACAGCTTTTGATGTGTCAGCACTTGGCTGACAAAACTTGTGTACCTCACTAGAAAACAAAAGTTTAAAAAATTTCAAGCATCCTGGACTTCAGATGCCTTGACTTCATAATTTCCATCTTCCTCTACAAGGGAAAGAAAAAATATTTTTCATTTTGTATTTTTGAGGCATTGGTTTTTGAAGTAAATGATACATTTTACGAATGTAAATAGCCTTGTAATAAGGAGATAGAATTTCTTTCCTTGCAACATAATAAAATATTAAGCATGTCCTCCTGGGGAGAAAGTCTGGAAATGCGCTATGACCATACTGCATGTGTCATCTATAAACACCTGCTGACATATATGTTTTCAGTTCAACGTCTTGCAAAAATTCCTGAAGTTTTTGCCTGAAGCTATACTAAAGACAGAATTGGAAGCTATGAATTATTAATTTCATGTTCAGGAAGGATGAAGTCCTCCCTAATGGTTTCCTGGGCTGCCTTAGGAATATTGCCAGCAGACAGAGGGAGGGGATCCTGCTCCTCTATGCAGCACTGGTGAGGCCGCAACTGAAGCACTGGGCATACTGGAGAGAGTCCAACTAAGGGCCACCATAGACGGTTAAGTGACTGGAGCATCTCTCCTATGAGGAAAGGTTGAGAGAGCTGTGACTGTCCAGCCTGGAGAAGAGAAGGCTCGAGGAGGACCTCAATGTATTCAAACACCTGAAGGAAGGTGAAAAGACGACAGAGCCAGGGTCTTTTCTGTGGTGCCCAGTGACAGGACAAGAGGCACTGGGCACAAACCAAAACAAAGGAGGTTCCCTCTGAACATCAGGAAACACTTTTTGACTGTGTAGGTGACTAAACACTGGCACAGGTTGCCCAGAGAGATTGTCAGATCTCCCTCCTTGGAGATACTCAAAAGCCATCTGGACACAGTCCTAGACAACTGGCTCTGGGTGACCATGCTTGAGCACGGGGGTTGGACAAGATCTCCAGAGGTCCCTTTCCAACCATTCTGTAGTTTTGAGTGATTCTATGAAGCTGATAAACATTGCAGCATAAAAATTGCAAACAACGTATTTTAAAGACTTTGCTAGTCCACCACCTCTTCTCCCCCCCGTATATCAGCTCAGCAACGATGAAGATATACTTTTTCCCCTCTGTTTTATGGTCTGGTTCTAATAGACTGTTTACCCACATCTCCTTCACTATAACACCTGAAATTTGTGCACACTCTTGAACAGGCTTATTTGGTTTTTCAAATGAGATGATGTCAACCCAAAATGGCTAAGACTGAACTGTATTAAATTTGGACACTTAGAAAATACACCTACTTCAGAAACATAAAAGTCATGAGATCAAGCTCTCCCATTGGAAAAACGACTTGTCAGTCACAAGTAGGATTTTTGTCAAAATGTGTCCTTTCCAGTGCAGTTTGTTGTTAGGGAAGATTTTTTTCTGGAAAAGATGTAATCGGTTCCAAGTCCCTGGTGTTTTAATCACAGTATCTCCCCAGTGAAAATATTGCACAGACCTACCTCAGCTACGGCGAATAGCTCACGCATAAGAATATTTTCAAAGTTACCTTGCAAAGTTCCCTCCCTAATAAATGTCAGTACAAATTCAATCAGTCAAAGTTTTGACTAACACTTCAGTTGAACAAAGGTATGTCCCCTCTGAGTAATAACAGGGGTTTGTGCTGGGATTTAAATTTCTGTTTATTTTGGTGTCATATTACTTCAGCCTGATGAACATTTGACTGATTAATTACATTTAAATCTTCATATCAGAACAAGATCTGGAAGGTTACAAGAAATCCAATTATGGAATTGTTCGAAGGCTGAAGAATGTACAAATAGTTAAGAAGGGCACTAAGGACATTCAACGATGAAAATGTTCCTGCAAGCAGTACATATTTCACATCTCAATCTCCCACACATCCTGCTCCAGAGAGACCAAATGCCTGGCTATGATTTAATCAGGTCATAAGTCAGGCCCAAAATTCTTTTCATATATGTGTTGAGAAACATCTGGGACTCATGGCACTGGACTTGAGGTCTATTATGAGCAAAATGTTCTGATAATAATAATAGTAGGAACTGCAGAAATCTACAGGGTTTCTATTTATAGAATTCGAACTTTCACAGTGAAACCAGGAGCCAAGCCGGGCTCAGGCGCTCCGAAAGTCTGCTGTAACTATGGTTACCTTTACCTTGCCAAGAAAATGACATATCTATTCCTGAAATTCATTGCATTACTAATTGTCATTAAAAGCTGTAACTGTGAAACTACTGATTTTTGAGCAGATGAGCTTAAAAGTGCACTTTGTATCAGCAGTATCTGCTTCTAAACAGTATAAGCACTATGAAAACTTCTCCAAGGATGTTCGTTTCATGTCCAGCATAACACAACAAAATTTCATTTATTGTCTTGACCTCCTGTAAAGAGACTGTACAGCATGCTCAAATTTTTTAGCTACAGGAAAGGTATAAACCACCTATATGTTACTCAAACTCTAAACACACTATTATTAATGTTAAAACTAATGAATTTGTTTTTTAAAAAAAGAAGTTTTGAATCAATTTTGAAAACACAGAGATATGTAATTCAGGCAAACAACAGAGAGATTCAATGTTTGGTAATGCAGTATCAGAATCCTTTTGATGTTTTCTTCTGTGACTCAACTCCTCAGTTTATTCCATTTTTTTTGCCTGAGAGCACCCTGAAAAGTCTTTGGAAAGCCTCTTTTTGGCGTGCATCCTACTGAAGCTACAGTTTTTCCTTACAGTTTTTCCTCAAAAAACAAGAAAACATTATCTGCCCCTTTCCACACAACTTTTAGAACTGTGGGAAGATTCTACATTGAACCTCTTTTTCCTTTTCTTTTTTTTTTTTTTTCCCCAATTTTTTGCATATTAACTCTCAGAACAGTCCAATTTGTAAATGTCACAACTCAGATCCCCAGCTGACATAAGACAGGGCAGAGCCAGTTCCATGTAGCCGTTTTGGACCCACTCCAAACTAGCTCCGAACTCCCAAGAATTAGGCTGCATGGGAGAGGAACCAGAAGCCAGGATGAGAAAATAAGTTTGCATTAACAAATTGGCAAAGACTTGATTCATTTATGCCCTGCTTAGCTGAACAACTATAGAGAAATATACTGACAGCAACTAGAGGTCATACTCCGGGTTATTTATTCATTCACATCTCATTAGTTTAGATCTCAAGTGTATGAAAGTCAGCACCTTCTCCTTTTTCCATGCTATAATGTTTTATTAACCCAAGTTAATCTAAAAATTTACAGAGCTATTACTATTAATAGTCATGCTAGAAAAAGTCATACCAATTTGAAGGATATGAGAGATGAATAAAAGGCTAACAATTTGGTATTTAAAATTAAGATGCATTAGAAGGAAAAAAACAATTCTGCTGTTATTGCTTCACTTTTGGTTAACATCTGCAAATTCACTAGAGTATTGATTTAAGGCATTTACAAGAATGTGGGAAATATGCAGTTGATTGTATTTACAACTGAACACAGCGAACAAGAAAGGACACGATCCACCCAGTGTCTAAAACAGGGATAATAAAGAGCACAGTTTGAAAACAATTTATGCAATTACTCAGTTTAGGCATTCACGCCTCAAAATAGCTACACTTTCAGCCATATTTTTGCCATTGCAATAGACATTTTGAAGAGTGATTCGAACTGTACCACATTCCTTTGTTTTTCCCTTAAAAGACAAATATCACCAAGCTTAGGACATGCCGGTCATACCTTTTTATAACTAGAGATTCTTCTGTAGATGTGTTCAATTTTCTCACTGCAAATGACACTGAATTTGCTTTGAAGCTCAGTGGGGATCACTTCATTTAAGGAATTGAGGCTGTTGCAATTCTGCACAAAGTGTTCATCGCTTTTTGCCAGCGCTTCAAGAATCTAAGATAATAAAAATAAGAACAGTACGTTATGAAATAAGATGACTAAGATAAGTAAAGGGTTATCATCCCTTATAATTAAAGCTGAAAAGCCTGATAATCAGTTGCCTTTTAACATTACAAGCAACGCTGCATAACGACAATTAATGAAACTCGGGAAGCAAAGAGGTTCTTAAAATCTACCCCCTGCATAAATTATACCCACAGTAAGTACTTTTATTTGTCTTCTCATGACATTGTCTGAAAACGGATTTACTACTAATTTCCTACTAACGTAACCACTGTGGCTCCTCTGAAATACATTATCTGCTGTATTTACCTGAACAGTACATATTATGCAAAGCTGATGAATTAACTCATTACTTGTAGCAAAACTTTGGTCTGGCAGTATAAGCAATCCTATTTCACAATGAAAAAGCATACAAGAAAACTGAGTGCTATCCTCTTGTATGTTATGCATATATAAACAGGAAATAGGGAACAGAATAATCTGTACTGCCTAGCAAAGACTGAAGTCTTGCTATGATGGGAATGACACCAGCAAACGATGGGTTTATGAAACTGAAAGGAAAAGGCATGTTAAAGAGACAAGGGTAGTATACAGCCCTTTTTTGGAGTTAGGGCTTCAGGCATTGAAATTCACTGTGTTATGGAACTTAGGAGGTGCCTATTGCTGGGTGGGTCCAACTCTGCAGATGTGTTTGAAAAACACACCCAAAATAACTTTCTAACAAAGGCACCCAAAATACCAGATTAAAGGGCACCTATATAAGAAAAGGCTGGCATTTTAGAGATACTCAAAGAAGTATGGACGAACAACACATACAGTATTAATCCACCACTGGACTCAATCTGTAATTCACTTCTGCTACAGTTCATTATGATACTATCCACCATCACAGATGTAATATATGATTTATAAACTTGACCAAGGAGTTTAGAAAAAAATGAAGATGTACAGAAATTTTGGAGGGCAAAAT